TTCAAAAATTGCTCAGTTTACTTTTGAGGCAATTAATTCAAACATGCTGTCAACACTAGAGCCAAGTACGCAATCACATTATCTCCCCCCAAATACCTTTCCAGTAAACAGATGCGTGCAAGGGTAGAGATTTTGCATAATGTTTAGGAAGATAATAATGTAAATATCGAGAAACATAGTCATCCTTCTGGTTTTCCCTGAGTTTCTGGATTTAGGCCAAAGTTTCAGCTGTCTGTGAGAATTCAAAGTATGAGGTGATTTTTTTAAAGGAAAAAAAAATATTGCTTACATATTATTTTGATAGCATCTTCATTGATTTGGAATGCTTATCTGCTACATAAACTAAACCTTTTACATTTTAGATGTTCCTTCCAATTTTCTCTAGCTGAAGAATATCTTTTTATTTTTTGGTAAGGCAATTGCAATTGGGGTTAAGTGATTTGCCTAGAGTCAACACAGTTTGTGAGTGTTATGTGTATGAGGCCAGAGTTGAACTCAGGTCCTCCTGACTCCAGGGTGAGAGGTGCTCTATCCACTGCACCACCTATTCTCCCTGCTAAAGAATATCTTTCAAGAGGTATATATAGCTATGAGGGAATCCTTTGGCTTCCTCAGAGACTTATTAATTACATAAAAGTGATTTGCTGAATAAATTGCCATTAGGAATACTGTAGGAATTAATCCCCTGAAAATCTGTGTCTAAAAGGTAAATACTGACCTCTATGGGTAGCATGATTGTACTTGTGTTGCATAAAATGCTAAAGTTCCTCAAATCACCAACATTTGTGACTCTTTCAAGTCAGGTCAACCAAAAATTATTTATTAAGGCTGTCTATGTGTCAAGTACTATGCTAAGTGCTAGTGACACAAAGAAGACCAAAAAATAGTCTTTTCTCTCAAGGAGTTCACAGTCTAATAGGAGAGATAACATGTAAACAACTATATACAAATATATAGATATAAATATATATATATACATATATATATACACACATCAGATAAATTGGAGATAATAAAAATAGGTGCTGATATGTCAGGAAAGGCTTTCTGAAAATGCAATTTAAAATTTATTTAATAGTATAATTAAGCCCTGCATTTCCCAAATTTGACATTTTTTAAAATTTCATTTCATCGTAGAAAGTTTAAGAGGAAAAAAGATGAGTCAATTATTTAGCAAGTGTGAGACATAACTAATATAGTTATATTATATGTATTTATATATGTGTGAATACATATATACATATATAGCATATAAGTCTACATGCTCCATTAGCGTCCATGTGATATTCAAGAGAACTTGAAGAAAGCCAGCAGCCTTTGAATGGATTCCTTAGCATGGATTTATGGGAGAGCAATGACAAAAGTTACACAGACTAAGAAGGCATGAATGAGTCAAGATCTACCTTATTGAAAGGAGCTCCGTCATCGATGAGATCACAGATTCCTTGGGATATTTTATTTACCCATAAACACTATATGCATTATCTTTAAAGAGAAAAGAAAAGGAAAATGTCCCAGGCTAAAACTTCATTGTGATTTTATTTTAAGGCTCTTGCAGAGGTGTAATATCTGCTGGCGTAAGGACAAAAGATGACATTATCCAGGAAAGAAAAAAACAAACAAACATTAAAGTATTGATATTACTCCAGACAACAGAAAACTAGTGGTTCCTGGATATCTGAGAACTACACAGAGGGTGGACATGATTATATAGTCCAAAGCAGTTTTAAATACCATGGCTGATTCAGAATAGTATTTACATAGCAGTGGTTTGGGAAGCCTCATGTCCAAAGGAGGAAGAACACTTCCTCTTCTTAGTTAAAGAGGGGAAAACAGAAAGAAACTTTTTCAAGATGAAGTTCTGAAAAAAGCAAATAGCACCACTTTTGGCACCACCCTTCCCCCACCCAGCCAGTGAAGACCATACAGATGGCTGACTGATTTCTAGTACCTGACCTTTTCCTGAAGACAGTCAGGAACATCATAACCAAATTCTTGAGTTTCTTGATGTCAAAGGGAAAAAAAAGATTGCAAGTAGAAAGAAAGAAAGAATTTAAATACCAACGAACCACAGCCAGGATCAATACTACAATCGCATAAAAAAAAGAAAATCTTGAATATAATATTTCAAAAGGCAAAAATAGAAGTGTTTACAACCAAGAATAATTTACCCTGCAAAACTGAATATAATTCTAAAGAGAAAGTTGGATCTTTAATAGAATAGAGGACATTCTGATGAAAAGACCAAAAACTATGAAACAGAAACAGTTCCCAAGAGAAACCTAGAATGGAAGAAGTTACACAGTGAAGTGCTTATTTTCCAGTAGAAGATGAGATTAGCATCCATTCAGAATTACCACTGAATTCTCTAGTCACATAGGCAATTAAGAAACCTAGAAACACAAAGTTTGGGTGTAATTTTGTTGTTTTATTGGACTTAAGAAACTAAAGAAGTAATGAAAAAGGAATATACTAGGAAAGAAATGAGGAAGAAAGGGGAGAAACTGTTTTTTGCATAATTGAGGCACACAAGAAAAGTATATGGACATGGAGGAAAAGTTGGGTGAACAGGTGTTTCATGATTTGCAGCTGAATTTATATCTAAATTGCACAAAGGTAGGAAAGCACATTAAAAAGACCTAATATCTGAGTAGAAAAGATCTTTGGTAATGAATGAGAACTGGATTGGGGAAAGATCATATTTATGAATGTTTACACCTCCTCCCCCCCCCAAGAAAAAGAAGAAATACAAAAGAAAAAAAATTGAATGATGGCATATTTCCTAAAACCAGTGAGTGGGATGGGGGAACTAATGTAGGCTTAGGCCATATTTTAAAAGGCAATATTCAAAATGAAGGAGGTAAGAGTCCTGCTGTATTCTGTCCCAGTGAGACCACACCTGGAATATTGTGTTTTCTTTTGATACTGTGTATTATAGGAAGAATACTAATGACCCACAGTGTGTCTAGAGTAGATGTTCTTAACCTGGGGTCTACAGACAATCTTACATGAATAGATTTCAGGGAATCTGAGAACTTGCATGGGAAAAAATACATTTTTATCTTTACTAACCTTGTAACTGAAATTTAGTATTTCTTTCAATTATTTAAAATTATTATTCTGAGAAGGGATCCATAGGCTTCATCAGGCTGCCAAAGGGAGTTCATCAGTACCACATACACGTGCGTACATGTGCACACACACACACACACACACACGCATTAAGAACTAGGGGGTCTAGGGGAAATGGACATCTGGACAGACAACCAGGATGGTGAGAAGACTGAAGACTATAATGACCAGTTGAAGGAAATGAGAGTATTTAGTCCGAGAAAAAGGTTTCAAGTATTTAAAGACCTGTCAGGTGGAAGAAGAAAAAAAAATTGTTCTGCTTAGCCCTGAAGGAACAGTGGGTAGAAACTGCCAGGAGAGACATTTTCAGTTTCATGAATGGAAAACTTCCTAACAGTTAAAGGTGTCCACAACCAAAATAGGATTCCTCAGAATTTATTTGTATTTATTCGCTACACGCTAACATATCTCCTTGTTTCTTCTCCATTCGAATGTTGGCATTGGGATTGAGAACTATAGGAACTGAGCTAAATTATGAACCTTGTCCCCTTCTTGTTCCCAGAGACTGAGGTGGTGCAGAGGAAGAGCAGGAAGAGGATGGATTATGCCTCTCACATTTTAGGGAAATAAATTCGTATATGTGTGATTATACCTTCTGAAGTAATTTTTTAAAAAAGGAACAAAAAGAAAAAAGAAAGAATTTTCAAGATTGAATATAAGGTAAACTGAGGCACAAAGTTCTGAGCATGTACAACTTGTTGGTAAGGTTAGCAATTCCCAATAAAATGGGACTTCCCAGCTCTTCAGTCAGCCAAACAAGGTGGAGCCTATTAGCCTTCATATAGTTTTGAGAAGTACAAAAGAACAAAGAACAGGGCGCATCACAAATGGAAAACAGCATAATTAGTTACAAAGTCTGAAGTGTCATAGAAGATGGAAAACAATATGATTGGATGGAAGTCTGGAATTCAGGGTGAACAACAACCCCTCCTTCCATCTTGTTGCTATAGAAAGCTCATTGGTGGTGTCCACCTGCATGGCTAGTTAGTGTCACAGCAATAACAAACCAGACTTTCTTGAAGGAAAGCCAGTATTGCAGAGATAACAGACCAGACTCCCTGGTATCCACCTGTACCCTTCAAGGATAACAGATTTCTTGCAATTGTACAAGGGAAATTGTACAGACTCCCCTCTGGCATTTATATACTCTAAAGTACTCAGTTCACTTCTTTCTCTGAGCTCTCAAATATCCTAATCCATCTCTTAGCCATATCTCCATTCCCCAAACTGTCTTGCACCTTCCTGGTATATCTCAGTGCTTCTCTCTCCAGCATTCCATAAACCTTTTTTCCATAGAGTTTCCCCTACGTTCTTCTCTCAGAGAGCTAGATCACACTGAGAGTTGCCCCAATTCTTCCCTCTGTCTCCTTTTCTTCATTCTACTTAAGGTGGGATCTTGGATTTAAAGGACCTGTTTTTATTATGTCTATATGCAAGACTTCCTTCACACCCTTCTCTGAGAAGAATGCTGGTCAACTTTTGATCTGGAACTTATTATTTGGTAATATTATTAGGTAAGGTAGTAGATAGAGTGCTGGATTTGGATTCAGCAAGACCAGAGTTCAAATCCTGCATCAGAAACTTAGTAGCTGTGTGACCCTGAGGAAATCATTGAACCTCTCTTAGCTTCAGTTTCCTCATAAGTAAAATGGAGATAAGAAAAGCATCTACTTCGCAGGGATGCTGTGAGGATCAACTGACAAAATCTAAGAAAAAACACTGAAAACCTTGAATCGCCATATACATGCTAGCTATTATGATCGTGATATTGACAGGCTGTAGGTGCCTCCATTTTCCCTCACTTCCCTCCCTCCTCCTGGTCTGGAATCGAGTTCCTCTCAGGATTGAAGGTAAAGAATGTATACCCACCTCTCCAAGCCTGATCAAGGGGATGATTCATTGCTCAGACCTACAAAAAATAAAATAGGGACCTCACTGAGCAGTCAATGAGTCAACAACTTTTATTAAATTCCTACTGGGTACCAGGCAACGTACTAAGAGCTGGGAGTGTAAAGAAAGGTAAAAGACAGTCCCTGCCCTTAAGGAGCTCACCTTCTAATGGGGAAGACAACATGCAAACAAACTATGTAGAGGAAAAAATCAGCAATGAGTTGATTCCCACTAGAATTAAGAGGGGTTGGGAAAGGCTTCCTGAAGTCAGGGAATCCTGGAGGCAGAAATGAAGAGGCATGGAGGACAGCCAGAGAAAATGCCAGAAGTCAAGAGACAAAGTACAGAATGGCCATGCCCTAGGGCCCAGGATCTCAGTATGCCCCTTAGCCACTGACTCTCCACTCTCTCCTGTCTTGTCAGGATTTCCTTTTTCTAATCCTAATCCTAATTCCACCAATAATGCTAGGCCAGGTGACCCAGGGCTCCACCTCTGAAACAGAGGCCAATGTATGCCTTGTATCCCATACCCTAAGAAGTCATCAACCGTTAACTTCCAGTTACATGTACTAAGATGGTAAATAAACTTGGAGGGAAAAGAAGATCAGAACTCAATATGCTCAAGTCAAGTAGGTCTACATCTGACAACTTTGAAAAAATTAAGATCTCTGATTTATGAAGTGACCAACCATGATTCCAGAGGACCAATACTGAAGAATGTTACCAACCTCCTGACAGAAAGGTAATAGACTTAATGATCAGAAAGAAACATTTTTGAACACCACCAATGTTGGAATCTGTTTTGCTTGTCTCAGCATATCTTTGAACAATGTCTTTGTTTTTTCTGTTTTTTCCTCCAATAAGGAGAAGGAGGTGAGATAAAGATAAAACAAATTCTTATTAACAGAAAAAAAATTTAAAAGGAAGAAAAAATGAATAAGCATTTATATAGTGCTTATTATATGCCAGGAACTGTGCTAAACACTTTAAAAAAAAAGAAAAACTACCATCACAATAACCCTGGGAAGTAGGTGCTATTATTATTCCCATTTTATAGTTGAGGGAACTGAGGCAAACAGAGATTAATGGACTCATCCAGGTTATACTGCTAGTGAGTGTCTGAGGCTGCTCTACCTACTGCTGCACAAAAAGAACAAAGGTTCTACCAGTGGACATTTTAGTGAGTAGGAAGAGTGGATGAATTGTCCATTGTTAAAGCTGGAAGGGGCATTAGGGGTCATCAAGAAACACCTTTTAATTTTACAGATGAGGAAAGAGTCCCCAGAGATGGTAAGCAATTTACTCCAGGTCACATAATTTAATCATGGCAGAACATGTACCAGCCTCTAGATCTTCCTATCACCCCTGTGATCTTTCCACTACTTAAGTCTGTCATTGAAAATACTTCCAGAAGAGACTGGTACCTAAACACAGAACCTTAGGCAGGTCATATTTAAGAGATTAAAAATAGACAGATTAAGAGAGTGCCAGAAGAAAAACTTCAGTTGTTGGAATAGTTCTTCCTGGAACTGTTTCAAGAACAAGAGAAGGTGCAGAAAAGAGGCAAACAATGTGGGCCTATAGCAAGATGCCAAGCAAAAGGTTAAGAAACAAATCATTGAACAGCAGATTTTCTGAGTAGGATCAACTTGTTAAAGACAATAATTGCTCCTGGACCTGGTGGTTTCTCTCAATAGTCCAGACAAGACTTTGGCTTCTGTTTTCAAATTTAAAGTGACCATCACAATGAAATAAGGAATATAGTGACATTTTAGAAAAAAGGAAAAAGGAAGGAGAATGGAAACCAAAGATTCCTAACATTACTAAACACTGATTATAAGAGTTTGGCAGCAGTCTGGTTTCAATGACTAGCAAGGATAGCCAAAGGTTGCATTAGCAGGCCCTAAAAGGGAGGTATAAATATCACAGAACTTGCCAGAAGACAGAGCTGGAAAGGATATTTATGATGTATAGAATAAAGCAAAACTTTTTTTTATGGGACAAAGCATGACTTTCTCTTAGAGATCATATAAAAATAGGATATTCTAGTCTACATTAAATGGAAATGGAATAGACATTAAATCTTAGATCTGGAAGGGGCAAAGCAATGATGAAGTGGTTAGATTCTAATTGATGAAGAGAAAGGGAGTTAAGTAAAATAAATGTAGAGTCTGCTCTATGTGCTTATTTTGTTGGTTGAAAGAAAAGAGACGGAAGGAATTCTCTGGGAAGGAAATGAGGAAAAGGGGGGAGAAAATACCATTTCCTATAAATTGAGTATATAAGACAAAAAGTTTATAAAATGGAGGAACAGGTAGGGGAAGAGATATAGCCTCATAAATTCATTCTTATCTGAACCTGATAAAGGAGGATTGAGCACACACAGTTTGGTGCAAAAATGTATCATATTCAATAGGGATAACAGCAGGGATTGGGAAAGGGGAAGAAGATTATTATTATATAAGGGAAAATAGATGAAAGGAGTAAATAGCCAACAAGAAGAGCAATCTCCAACTTCTGAGGGTTGCTTATACAGTAAGGACCAGAGATTGGAGTCCGGGCTTAGCGAAGAGAAGAAACACAGACGAACAAGGACATAGCACTTTACTTACAGATTATTAGTGTTTGTCAGATTTTTTTCTCTTTCTCTACTCTTTTTTTCTCTGTAAATGCAGGAGTGGTAGGAAAAGAAGGAAAAGCATAAGAGACTATGATGGAAGGGAATAATGTAATTATGTTAATTATGTAATTAACAGTCATAAGAATGAATGTGAATCAGATGGATTTACCTATAAAATTGAACAAGGTAGCAAAATTGATTATAAGGCTGAGCAACAATATGTTATTTACAGAAAATACACTTGAATCAAAGATTCACATAGTTAAAATGAGAGACTAAAGAAGAATGTATTATACTTCGGGTGTTTTTAAAAAGCACAGGTGTAGCATTCATGATTTCAGATAAACTAACAATGTTTAAAGGCATCATATGTAAAAAATAATATCAGTATTTATATATGCATCAAAGAGATCTCTGGCAATTACTGAATGAGAATTTTTCAAAAGTATAGATATGTGGATAGATAGATCAACCAATCTATATAGAAAGATGTAGATTAGAGATAGAGATATATACACATACCTATCCCAACTACTGGGTTAAGAACACATTATTTGAAAATAATTGCTGGGAAATCTGGGAAGCAGTCTGTCAGAAACTAAGTTTAAATCATTATCTCACACTAACATGTCACAATCAGCTCCAAAATGATACAAAGTAATACCGAGACTAGACCTATATCCCAAAATGATTTTTAAATATGATATATAATCATAAAATAATATTTATGGTATCCCCAAAATCTTAGTGCAGCTTTAAATTTTATAGATAATGTATATTAATAAATATATATACATATAGTTCTCAGCTCTGAATGGCACCTCTACAAAAACTGAACATGTGTTAGCACACAAAAACCTCATGAACAAATGCAGAAAAGCAGTAAAGTAACAGGAGACAAAATAAATCTGCATTAGTGATCAGCTCCTCTTTGTATTCCCAACAAAACTCAGCAGAAAGAGATGGAAAACAAAATTTAATAGAATAGAGGACTTTCAAACATTCCTGATTACAAAAACAAAAATGAAGAAAAATTTGAAAGTGCAAACATTGGAGCCAAGAGAAAGTTTTACAGGATAAAAACAGACATATAATTGAAGAGATATTAATTGCTCATATTTGGGATGTGCCAATAAGATAAAAACTGGCAAAACAATCAATTAATTTACTTATGGAGTATATATCAATTGAACAACCAAAGGGTCAGAAAAAATAACATTCATCTGGGGAAATAAAAGGTAAACAATTTCAAGAAAAATAATGGAAAGCTAAAAGGAAAGAACCTAACAGGACCAAATTTCAAAATATACCATAAGACAATAATTATCAAAACTGTCATGTACTGGTTTAAAAAAAAAGTTGATCAATGGAGCACATTATGTTAGAAGACCCAGAGCAAATGAACACAGTAGCAAAGTTTTAGGGGGGGAAATGAAAGACTCCCAACTACTGGCATAAAAATAACTTTTTTGAAAATAACTGCTGGGCAGGGGCAGTTAGGTGGCGCAGTAGATAGAGCACTGGCCCTGGATTCAGGAGGACCTGAGTTCAAATGTGACCTCAGACACATAGCACTTACTAGCTGTGTGACCCTGGGCAAGTCACTTAACCCCATTGCCTAGCCAAAAAACAAAAAACAGAAAACAATAAAAACCACAAAATGAAAATAACTGCTGGGAAATCTGGGAAGCAGTCTGTCAGAAATTAAGTTTAAATCATTATCTCATACTAACATGTCACAATCAGCTCCAAAATGATACAAAGTAATATCTAGACTAGACCTATATCCCAAAATGATTTTTTAAATTAGAGGAAAAAGCCCCCTGTCCACAAAAAAAAAAATTATCACAGCTCTTTTTGTAGTGGCAAATAACTGGAAACTAAGGAGATGCCCAATAATTAGAGAACAGCTGAACAAATTGTGATGTATGAATATAATGGAATACTACAAGAAATTATGAAAGACAGTTTCAAAGAAATCTTGTGAAAACTTGTATGAGCTGATGTAGAATGAAGTGAGCAAAAGTAGAATAATTTATACTGTAACAACGTTATAGAAAATTTTTTGAAAGACTTAAAGAAATCTGATCAATACATTGAATAATCATCGTTCTAGAGGACTGATCATGAAGAATGCTAGCCACCTCTGGACAGAGAGATGATGGACTAACTATGCAGAATAAGACACGTTGTTGGACATGGCCACTATGGGGAATTTATTTTGTTTGACTGTGGTTAAAAAAAAAAAGTTGAGCTTCAGCGTGGAAAAAAAAAAGTTATATCATAAACACATTAAAGAAGACTTTATCTTTCACAATTGTGGAAATCGAAAGATTTCCTGACCAAATGAAGGATAGAGATGATAAGAGAGAAAATGAACACTTTTAATTATATTAAATTTAAAGGTTTCTACATAAACAAAATGAACGCATTTAGAATTAGAAGGGAAACAGTTAACTGGGGGGGGAAATTGTTGAACCAAATTTCTGATTAAGGCCTGATACCCAAGAGATATAGGGGATTGATAGACATATAATAACAGGATTCACTCCCAGATAGATAAATGGGAATAAACAGATGAGATTCCCTGACAAAAGGGAAAGGGTAGGGGAAGGTGTGGGAGACTTAAGGAAAAAAGAGGAGGTTTGGAATAGATTCTGTGAGAAGTGACACAGAGAATCATTTGGGGAGGAATGAAGGACTGCTTTGTGGTAGTGAGGGCTCAGTTAAAGTTGGATAACTTAGCTTTATACCATGCCCAGCTAGCATGGTTGTGAGACTTCTTCTGTTCTGCAGAATGTGATTAGCTAAGGAGGGTAATGGGATTTATCCAGGCCTAAGGCTTGGTATAGTATAAGCAACAGTAGTTCTAGGGCCTAAAGGATTAAAGAATAGAAGACAGTGTGGAGCTGAATTGGATAATTTTAGTATGAAGACTGAATAACATTAATTCAGAGCAGGGTTAGTGGCCTGAGAACTTCCTGAAGGACAGAGGTATAGTCTAGATGAGGACAAAGAATAGATTTTGGAGGGGTGAGGGAAAGGGAGAGATGTAATAATTGTGAGTTGTGATTAGAGAAAGGAATGTCAGGAGTTTTTTTTTTAATCAATAAAGTGGAACACTTATAGATAATGATGAGTTCCCAGGTGTGAGTAATGGTGTATGTGGGTAATGATGAGATCCTATGTGTGGCTAATGTGGAATGAAGAAGGTCATGAAATTTAAGGAAACTGAGAAATTGAGAGGTTAGGGAGTTTGGGAAAGCATCAAAATGGATATTGAATTCTCCTAGTGTAACAACAGAAGCTGGGGAGGGGAGGAAGATGATATATAACAGTTTCTGAACTCCCTGGTAAAAGAGGCACAATGATCTGAGGGCTAGTATACAACAGCCACCATGATTTAGTGAAAATTTTTAATAAAACCAATTTGAAAGGAGGAAAGCTTGCTTAGTGAAGTTGACAAAGGGAAAATATGGAAGGGGCCCTAGGGAGTAAGAAATCTCAAAATCTCTCCAGGACCCTTGGGACAGAGGGGACAGAGACATATGAGTGGGTCAGTCAACAAATATGTATTAAGTACTTTTTATATGCCAGGCACTGCACTAGGTGCTAGTGATTCAAAAGGGAGTCAACATGTAAATAAGTAGTTTCTACAAGATATATCCAGAGTAGATGAAGATAATTAATTTGAAAGGGAAGGTATTAGCAACTAAGAGGGTTCTGGGGGAGGGGACTGGATAAGGCTTCCTGAAGAAGGTGAGATTTGAGGTGAGTCTTGAAGGAAGCTAGGGAAAGTAAAAGGTAGAGTTAAGGATACAGAGCATTCCAGGCATGAGTAAGAGTCAGTACAAAGGCGTGGAGAAGAAAGATGGAGTGTTGTATGCAAGGAACTACAAGAAGGTCGATGTTGCTGGATAGTAGAATGTATGGAGGGGACTAAGGAGTTAAGAAGACTAGAAAAGTAGTAAGCAGCAAGGGATCCATATTGGGGAAGGGGGGAGAGAAGAAGAGATGGTAGAAAACATGAGTGAAGGCACAGTCAAATCCAGAGAGAAAGGAGAGGCCATCTTGGGGAGACCAGGTCTCAGTGAGGGCCTATGAGATGAAGAGTACCAAAATGAGGGCACAACAGAAGGCACAGGCACGTTTGTTGCAAGGCATGGGTTGAGTATAGGGATAATTAAGCAGGAGTTAGGGGGGTTGAGGATATTTTGTTCCTTGCTTGGTCCATGATTGAGTAATTCAGTGATAGGGAGAGAAAAAAAAAAGGTTGTAGAAGATTTTTAGCCATAAGGTTAATAATAGATAACAGAGAAATAATAGTGCTCATAATTTTGAGTGGTTATTTTTGGTAAGGACCAAGAGAATAACACCTTAGTCACTTCTACCTTCTCTTATGTTCTCAGGGAGAGGCAATTGGCAAAGTGGACAAAGAAGGAAAATAATAATTGCTGGAGGACATTTAGGAGAATAGATACTCTGAAATGCAATTTGGTACTACACTCCAAAAGTCATTAAAGTGTGCTAACCCTTTGACCCAAGAAACTGCTACTAGGCTGATATATCAGAGATCTAAGCTAGAGAGAAAGGATCCATATGTACAAAAATATTTACAGCAGCACTTTTTGTAGTGACAAAGAACTGGAAACAAAGTGGGTGCCCATCAATTGGGGAATGGCTGAAAAAATGGTGGCATATGAATATAATGGAATATTACTATGCCATAAGAAAAGATAAAAGAGAAAGATTCCATGATACCTGGGGAGACTTCCATGAGCTGATATAGAGTGAATGGAACCAAATGAGAAGAGTTTATACAATGACTAGAATATTGTAAAGAAAAAACAACTCTAAGGTACTTAAGAATTGTGATCAAGGCATCAACCAACCTCCCAGCAGAGAAGTGCTGAACTAAAAGTTCAGGATGTGATATTTTCCGACACAGCCAATAAGTACGTTTGTTTTCTGTGACCATATTTATTCATTACACAGAATAGTTTTTGCCTTTTTTTCTGTTTAAAAGTGAGGAGTGAAGAGTAAGGCAGCAGGGGAATAAAAAAGGAAATAAAAACATGTTAATGAATCAGACCAGAAAAGTACAGCAGAAAATTCAGAAGAAGACACAAACATAGGGCAGGGTTGAAACTATCATTTCGATTTGAATTGTACATAAAAATTCCACATGATGGGCAAAAAAGACTAACTAAAATTCATCATTTATAGACAATCTCCTATTTTGTTTTTCTGTGTATGTTAAAATGTTCATGTTTTTTGATCTTTATTAAGTTCTTGATTTTTAAAAAGTTATCTAAAAAACTAGTGGGAATAGGAGAACTAGGTCAAAGCAGACATGTCATGTGGAAGGTCTTACATAACCAAACAGTGGTTAGTTCCTTGACAGGACAGACAATGCCTGACCAAAGGAAGGATGTGGGAAGGTAAAGATATAGCAACCCTTAGTTTCTGAATGTACCAGAGCAAAACATTTTTGGAACCAGTCAAGCTTCTAGAGGAGGGGAAAGGAGGAAGTAGACAAGCTAGAGTTAGAAAAGTTTGCATCTTATTAAAAGGAAGAGGCAAAGGGAAAAACAAAGAATTACCATCTTCAGCATAAAAACTCTATGACAAAAGAATTATTGAAGCACATAATTCTACAAGAATCAGAAGAACTGACCAGAAGAATAAAATGTACTGTTGAAGAGAAGCATATATCAGGTAAAAGAAAAACAATACAAATGATAGAGCATAGAATTTATGAGAAATATTTATGAAATGTCTATTGATATTTTCTTGGTTTTGTTTGATGATTGGAGAAAAATTATACATATATAAATATCCTTTTATAATGATTAGGATTCAAGTGAGATTGGTTCATGAATGCACTTTCTAAATATTAAGTGTAGTATAAATTCAAATTAATCGATCACAGAATCTAAAAGTTGAGAAGGACTTGAGAGGCTAACTAATCCAACCAACCTCTCTACAAAAAGCCCCTCTCCATCATATCTAACATATCTTCTTATCTGAAGACTTCCAGTGAGAAGAGACCCACTATTTCCAGAGGTAGCCCCTTCCATTTCAGGGATAGTTCTAATTGTTAAGAAGTTGGTTTTTTTTCCCTTTTCTTTGACATTAGATGTTTTTTAACTTAAGTGTAACACTTTATACATATCTCTCTTACATTTCTTATTGTATTATTCAGCCTAATGTTCACATTTTTCAGTCTTTTTGAATCCCATTTCAAATCCCTAGATGTAAGGTATGCCTTTTAGTTTTATATTATCTGCAAATTTGATCATCTAAACTTTTATGTGTATCATTGATAAAAACATTCAATAGTTAAGCGCCAAACACAGATCCCTAGGACACTCCTTGGAGGCTTCATTTAAAAGTGACATGGAACAATTAAGGGTTACTCTTTTGGGTCCAACCATTCAACTAATTCTATATCCATCCAATTTTATGGCCATGTAATCTACATCTCTCCATATTGTCTACAAGCATAACAAGAGAAATTATATTCTTGTCCCTACGAGTCCTTACTCTGGTAATACCAACCACATAACTGTGGTCTTCTTACAATGTAACATGTTGATCACTCTGGGCTTTCTAAAAAAATCTAACATTATCCTATTGAAGTGACTTAAGGAATGGCAATAACTTTAATAGTTGATTTGTTTTAACCTTTGCTTCCTTAAATATATAAGAAATTTAGCAAATATTGATTTAAAACTGACCTTAGGACTAACTATTGATATTTGACATATTTTGAAGAGTAATTTTGGATTTGTAATACTGAAAGCAAATAACAGGAGTATGCTGGAGCAAGTTCTAAGCAGATTATGAGGACCAATTATTAAATTTTTGACGTGAGCATTTACAACTCAGAGATCCATGATCAACTATAAATCAGGGCTAGATTTGTTTTGTTGATTTTCTAGACTTAAGAAAGTGTTAATAATGTAAAATCAATTTAAAAGTGTGTGTGTGCAGAGACCATTTGTTAAGTATTTGCCAGCAAACTCCTGTATATCACTTGATAAACATTCTTGAACTTAGCAGGAGTACAGCAGGAGGCTCAGAAAACGAAGTTGTCTCCAAACTGGAAGGCTAGTGACCAAAGGATGACGATAGTAATAATAACAATAACAATAACATTTAAAGTTTATAAGAGTACTATATATTCATTACCTCATTTGAGCGCCCAACTTGTAAAGATCATAGGATCATTATCTAGAAGAGATCTCAAAGGCCACCATCCAATGCTGTCATTTTACAGATAAAACAATTGAGTTCCTGAGAGATAAAGTGAAGTTATTAGTCAATGTTTATCATGGAATTGCCTCCCCTCTCCAGACCAGGTATTGGGACTTTGTTCTGTGACTATTATTCAAGTGCCAGATCAATGACTCTAAAAATAACCAGCTCTCAAAAAACAACTAAAGGATAGGAAGAGGAAAGATGCGAAAGATCAACCTGAATTTTCACGAAAAAGAGGGAGAAAAATCCTAATTTGAGCAGTTTTGCTGTCTAGAGATTACTATCAACTTGTAGAAAAATAACATTTCTTCCCACTGAGTAGGTTCAAAATATAAATCAAATATGTTTAAACCCAAACTATTAATGAAGGTGAAAGGGTGGCAAGAATCTCTGGGACCTCCTTAGTTATAACAGTAATCATCCATTGCTCTTGCACTGAGAAGAAAAAGAAAACAGTTGCTAGAGACAAATACTTCCCCAATGAAAAAGGTACAACCATACAAATGAAGCTTCTTTTTGGTCTGTTCCAGGAAAAACCTCTTAAATATTTCCTTGGCATACAAGGAGCAAGATGAATCCTATCTTTTGTGTTTATCATTGAAATTCTTCTGAGAATGCATTTTTTTTTCTGTTTCTGCTTTTAGCTGCAGATTTAGAGACAACTAGATTGTTTATAATGACTGAAAAATGCTCTGGATTTATCTTTCAGTGGTTTGATGGATATATATATATATATATGATGTTAACAATATGGCTACCTCTCTTCACTGCTACAGATTACAAGCTACAGCTGTCTTCACACATTACGTATTCATGATAGAAAGCCCTGGCTGAGTAGTCTCTGATGCTGGACTATCCTTCCATGTTGTTCTCATCTCCTCCTCCATGTACCAGCAACATAGCCCACTTCCCTCACTCCTCATTTATACACACATACATTCTAAAAGGATATTATGTAGCTTTCTATTTCATTGAGATTGAGGCCACCACAGATGATATCCCCTCAGGTTACCTCTATTCCTCAAACCTTCTCAATATCATTGCTCTCTCTCTTCTAAGGTCACAGAAAAGGTATTTCAACTACTCACCAGGGGCAGGAGTAACTGGTAAAATCAGGCTAACTCCATTAACTCTCTGTATGATATTTATCCATGCTGAGTTTCTGCTTTTCCACTTAGGTTGCTGTTTATGAGTGATTAACTTCCCTTAGCTTCTACAGCGCCCTCCTCCTGCCCCTCTGTCTCTCCGTAAAGGACCTTAGAAAAGACTGTTCCCAGGGTTGTCATGAAGGTTGCTACCAGCATTTTTTTCGATCCAGCCTTTCAAAACCTTCTCTGTCCCATGGGGCACTGATTCACCTTGCACACAGGACATTGATTTCAACTATGATCCACACATTTCCTGATTGTTATTTTTTTTTAATTGACTAGACTTGCCATGATCCCAATAACTGAGAATCCGGGTTCCTGAGGTTATGCATGACTGACTAGTCTAATGGTTCATAACAATAGCCAGCATTTACATAGTGATTTAAGGTTTGCAAAGTGTTTTAGATATGTTATCTCATTTGAGCTTCCTAATAACCATGTGGAAGTAGGCACTATTATCATCCTCATTTTACAGATAAGGAAACTGAGGATGAGGAAGCCTAAGTGACTTGCCTAAGATCATGCAGCTAATAAAGGCTAGGACAGGATCCAAATTCAGGTCTTCCTAATTCCAAGTCCAGCATTCTATCCAATTTTGAGTCTGTGGTAACTACTGATTTGGCAAAAAAGAAAAGGGACAGCTGAGTCCATTTATCCTCCCATACCCTTTTTTTTTTTTAGGAGCAGGTCCCGTTATTTCACCCAGACTAGAAATCCAGTGGCTACTCATGGCCTAATCCCACTACTAATGGGCAAGAAATATTCCATCTCTGTTTCCAGCCTGAGACAATTCATCCCTCCTTAGCCAACTTGATGGGTTCTTGCTCCCGGGGGATTGATGCCTGATTGAGTTCAGATACCAAACAGCCTGAGCCCACTGCAGTTCAGAGATCTCAAGCTCAGTCTCCCCAGTAGCAAGGATTATAGGCATATACCACCACCCCTGTCCCCAAGTCACTGATTCTTCCAATAAACCTTAATTTACTTTCATAACTTTAAGTTCCTCATGTTATCATTTCTTGCACTTCTGATTTAAAGCCAAGAATTGCCTGACATGTCCAGGTTAATTAATACTTACTTCCAGGACCTTATTAGCGGTCATCCTCCCTTTCGCATTCACCTTCTTTCCTTCCCACACTATTGACTTCTTCTCCTCTGTCTAACAAACATGTACAGGTCTTCTAGTCTGACAGTTTTGAAAGGTACCTCAGATGTCATCTAGTCCAACTAGTATCTGACTATAAGTCTTCTCTAAAACATCCCTGACAAGTGGTGGTCCTGCCTATTCTTGAAAAACATCATTGAAAAGGAACCCAACTAGGTGAGATGGTGGGTAGAGTAACAGGCCTAGAGACAGGAGGATCTAAGTTCAAATCCACCTTCTAATACCTACTAGCTGTGCGATCATGGGATAGTCACTTAAACCTGCTTGCTTCAATTCCTTATCTGTAAAATGAGAAGAAGGAAGTAGCAAGCTACTCCAGTATCTTTGCCAAGAAAACCCCAAGAGTTGGAACAACTAAAATAACTCAACAATAACAAATGCCTACTCCGTGCTAGGAATAGTGCTAAGTGCTTTTTTTAAAAAACAAATATTATTTCATTTGATCCTCACAACCATCACACATGAAGAATGTTGCTAATACTGTCAGACATAGTGCATTGGTTAGTTTTGCTATACTGCTATCTCTTTTAAAATCTTTATTACAATGAATGACTTGCTGTGTAGGGGAGAAGGGACATTTTGAAATGCAGAAGGGACATATTTAGAAATGAATATAAAATAAACATAAAAGACATAAAGGTCAAATAATTTTAAGTACTATCAAAATTCAAAATGTATTATCATATCCAGTTGCTAACTTTCTTATGCGCAATGTGTATACTATTAAACCAAGTGGAAAACAGAGGAGATAATTTTCAGCATTATGAGCTAAATCATATTTTTTTCCCCTAGGATTTCAAGTTCCTATGTAGTCTTAAAGAACACAAGAATTGGATTAAAATCAATTTTTTTTTCCTAATCACGCTTGTTGAATTTTTTGAGGGTGTTGCCAAGGTGTAATAGCTTCTTACAATTGATTCCTAACAGAGACAGAAAAAATTTATGTTCACAAGAAGGCTGTAAGCTCTTTATTTCACTGGCCTATTGTTAATAGATGGGTTTTGGTAATTCTCTTATGTCAATCCTATTAGCTATTCAGAGCTATTTCTGCAAGGTCATCATCCAGGGACCTCAATCCAGGCTTAGATCTATCTATGTGCCAGAGGAATTCAATCAAAAAGGAATTCCCTTCTCCTGAAGACCATCAAAGGTACCAGTCTGTCCAGTTGCAACTTTCTCCATACAACTGAGCATCAGACCAAAAGGTAAATTGGGGTTGTTTTTTTTTCTTTTTTGGTCACTTTAATGTGTGTGTGTGTGTGTGTGTGTGTGTGTGTGTGTGTGTGTGTGTGTGTTTTACACATTACACAGATTTACAGATTACACTGTCTTCATCAGAGGTTTCTTGTGACAAAGCCAAGCAGCTAAATGAAACAAATAATATAGACCACTCGTTCTAATATCCTTTAGATTTTACTTCAGAAAACAAGTGGCCCTATTACGCTACAAAGCTATTCTTGTAGTCTTAAAGAAATACTTGGGGCACTGAGATGTTAAATGGCTCCCTATGTGATACAACTAGTAAGGGGTCTGAACCTAGGTCCTCCTAACTCACTCCCAGACTTGTACTCAATACATTGTACTGAAAAGCAAATGCTTCATGTTTTTCTTTGTCACTTAAAATTAGTCTGTGTTAATCAGTCTCATCTAGAATTAGAGCATCCTATTCCAATGAATCAAATCTTTGAAGATCCTTAGTAACGCAGTAATTGAAGCTTTGGATTAAATTTAGAATAAGGTTTGGAATTTTGGAATTCTCAATTCATTAGTCTTTTCAGGGATGGGGGGGCAAAGAGAGGAAGAACTGAAGGGAAGGGAAATCGTCTACTTAGCAAGTCATGTTTAGAGTCTTAGCTTTCAGGGACCTATGGATGAAAAACTCCTGGCTGAGGTTTTGGTTTTTTCTATTCATGCCTCAAATCCAAAATGGGGGGGGGAAGAGGAAGGAAGGAAGGAAGGAAGGAAGGAAGGAAGGAAGGAAGGAAGGAAGGAAGGAAGGAAGGAAGGAAGGAAGGAAGGAAGGAGGAAGGAAGGAGGGAAGGAGGGAGGGAGGAAGGAAGGAAGGAAGGAAGGAAGGAAGGAAGAAGGAAGGAAGGAAGAAGGAAGGAAGGAAGGAAGGAAGGAGGGAAGGAGGGAGGGAGGAAGGAAGGAGGGAGGGAGGAAGGAGGGAAGGAGGAGGGAAGGAAGGAAGGAGGGAAGGAAGGAAGGAGGGGAGGAGGGAGGGAGGAAGAAAGAGTTTAAAAGAAATTAAGTGCTTACTATGTGTAAAACACTGTGCTAAGTGCTGGGATACAATAGTAAAGTAAGACAGTCCCTACTTTCAAGGAACTCACATGCTAATTGGGAAGACGACTCATACTGAAGGTTTCAGATACAAGTCAGATAGAAAGGCTCCATGGTCCTTAGGGTACAGTGGCAGAGCAGATGTTAACACCTCTTCTCTAATGTCATTTCCACTCAAAAAAATCACATCAGTTTCTGATTTTGAACCATTTGACAATGCCAAGGTCTTTGATGACAAGAATTTTCCTTTCTGGGTTTTCAGTAGCTGGGGATGTGGTACCTGCAGGTATGACAACAGGGACTGTTTCCTGGCGTGATGGCTACAGCTATTGGATTAGAAGGATTCCTATTTCAAAGGCTCTTGGGTTCAGGGTCCTAGGCTGTCTCCATCTAGGTCTGGCGGAAGGTGGTAGTAAGAAAAAGAAAAAAGGAGAAAAAAAAGAAAGAAAAGAGAGCTTTCTTCAGTGCTTTGCCCCAACAGTGGCCCATAAGGCTCCCAGAGTGTGGCCAGATCAAAATCAGATAAAAATGTAATTGAGAAATATTTAACAAAATAAATAAAAATATAATACAACATAGTATTGTTTTGTTTTGGTTGTTTTCTAAGTCAATATGCAGCCCACAGGGCTCCATTGCTATCTAAGTTTGACACCACCGTGTTTACCATACCTTATCATGACAGGGGGAAAAAAATCAACTACTAGAAAATATGAAAAAATTAAACCATTTGTCAGGCTCTTTACAAGACCACAGTGGGAAGCAACACTGTACCATGGAAAGGGCGTTGGCCCTGAATTCAGAGCACCTCGGTGTCATATTATTATTGGAACCTGGACAAATCATTTAACCCCCTCTGCCTCAATGTTATCATCTGTAAAATGAATTGGTTGGATTGGGTGACCTTTAAGATCTCTCTTAGCTCAAGATCTGTGATGCTATTAATTTCCATTGTAGCCTCAGGGAACACCTGAAGTAAGGCAGCTGAAAACCTGGAAGGGAAAACTGCTAAGCTTCCATTAATATGCCTTGAATTAGATAAGAGATCTGGCAGAGTTCTTTTTCTACTTTCTCACCTTGTATCTTTCAGGGATGACCATCACTAAGCAGTCTATTTTGTTAGGCATAGATAACTAGGACTAACAACATTTTCAGTTTGAATTGTGAAAGTGCCTGAACCAGAGCTCTTCCATTGTTTTGCAAGAGACCGTTTTAATCTGCAGAATCAGCTTTTACTTATAACATCCTTTTTTTAAAAACATGTGATCACAGAAGACTTGCACTTGAGAATCAGCTGCATCCCAGCAAAAGATCAATTTAACATGCCAGAATCTATATGGTACATTGCAAAGGATAGCCCATATTGCTTTGTTGTGCTAGAATATTGATGAATACCATATGGACTGAAAAAAGTGTATTGTAGGCTGGGTACAAGCAATCTTTTTTCCCCATAACCATTCAGAAATTTCTGTTGAATGGTATTTATGAGAATTTATTGTTTCTGGATTTAATTTTTATTATGTGATTCAGCTTTTTATCTAGAAACTGTATGAAGGCCATTAAATATTGGCTGAAATTGAGTTCACATGGACTGTAACATAATGTCACCAAAGGATTTCTGACACATGAAGACATTTTAAAACCACAGATACAATCGCTCTTAAATTTCCAAAGGAAGCCTGCCATTTTCTTTTATTTCCTGCAGAAAGGCTAGGAAGAAGGAAGTCTTACGACCACTGGTGATGTCCTTTGCCTGGTCTTTTCAACATCTCCTCCCTTAGCTCCTGCCTGTCCAGAACCCATCAGAACCACTTGACTGCTCACACAATTTCTAATTCTTTTGGCAAGATGTAGCACGATTAGGCCTTCTCATCTGCCCTTACTTCTGTACTCTCAAGTCCCCTAACATTATCTGATACACTATGTAAACTAAGGATTCCTGCACCTTGCCATATACTGCCCCTTCTTTTACTGTGGTTCAGTTGTTTTCAATTGCATCTAACCCTCTGTGACCCTATTTGGATTTTCTTGGCAAAGATGCTGGAGTGGTTTGCCATTTCCTTCTCCCAACTGCCCCGTCTGAGGCCTTCCAAACCTTTCCATTAGCTCCACAACTGAACGTTTTTTGTGTATTATCTCCCCTAAATAAAGTATGAAAGCCTTGAGAACAGGGGCTGTTTCAATTTTTCTATTTTTACTCCCAGACCTTAGCATGATGCTTGGCATAGAGCAAGTATTTAAAAAATGCTTTTTTCATTCATCTATTCCTTCAATTTCTGGAAATTTATTTCCTCTCCCCCAGAGTAAAAGAAGCATAATCAGGTTAATACCTAATAGGTGGGTGGCTTTTTTCAGTATGCCTGTTCTGAGAGATACTGTTTTCTCCAAGTGGAAATAGTTCTTGCCAAGGAAGAGTGGAATGAGTGTTGACGTTAGAGTTGGGAAGCCTAGTGTCAGTCTTGCCTTACTAGTTCTATGACCTGGGGTAAATCACTTAACTTTTCTAATCTTCAGCTTAGTCATCTGAAAAAGTAATAGTCCTTATTTCACCAGGATGTTGTGAGGGTCAGATGAAATGACACTCATGAAAAGTGCTTTGGAAGACTTACACTTAATTGTCAACTATAACTATCAATAAGTCCCATCAGAATGTTGCCCCTGAGGTCAAAGATTTTTTTATCTATTTCTTTGTATCCCCAAACTTTGAACATTTCAATAAGCATTTATTAAGGCAGCAAGTTCTTATTAAGTACCTATTAGGTGCCAGGCACCGGTGCTAAGCACTGAGGATACAGAGAAAAACAAAAACAAAAAGTCCCTATTCTCATTTGGCCAATTTTTCTTTTTAGCCGCATTTTTCTCCTCATTGGCTTTTTGGACCTCTTTTGCCATTTGGGTTAGGCTGTTTTTTTAAGGTGTTATTTTCTTCAGTATTTTTTTGGGTCTCCTTTAGCAAGCTGTTGACTTGTTTTTCATGATTTTCTTGCATCACTCTCATTTCTCTTCCCAGTTTTTCCTCTACTTCCCTTACTTGCTTCTCAAAATCCCTTTTGAGCTCTTCCAAGGCCTGGAACTGATTGATGTTTTTCTTGGAGGCTTTGGATGTAGGAGCTTTGATTTTGTTGTCTTCTTCTGGTTGTATATTTTGATCTTGTCTTTCACCAAAGTAAGATAATATAGTCTGACTCTTTTTGCGCTGCTTGCTCATGATCCCAGCCAATTAGTTGAGTTTTAAACTCCATGTTAAGGTACGAGTCTGCTTCCAATGTGGAGAGTGTACTGTCCCAAGCTTCAGGGGTTTGTGTAGTTGTTTTCAGAGATACTTGTAGGGACCTGTAAATTTTCAGTTCTTCCAAGGTGGTATGATAAGGGGGAGGTGTTTACTCCTTTCCTGGCCTGTGACCACAAGTATTCCTTTCTGTCCTGTAACTGTGAGGAGAGGTTCCTCTCTACAGCCACTACAAGCTCCATCAAGCCAGTGCTCCTCCTCACCCCAGCACTGCCGCCTAGAACTGTGACCCAGATCCACACACGGGCAAAGCAAGAGATTCCTGCCTCAGCACTGGCAAAGAGATCAGCCGCTGGATTCCCCCTCAGTCTGTGGGTCAGAAGCTTGGGAAGCAGCTGCACCCCCCCCCCCGGGCCACGCTCTTGGGGAATGGAGCTGAAACCCCACCTTCCATTCTCAGCACAGACAGAAACAGACTTTTCCCACTGACCTTCTAAATTGTCTTTGGCATTGGTGGATTGAGAAGTCTGGAAACCTCCACAGCTGCCCGTGATTCAGTCCTCTGAGGCCTGCTCCAGGTTTGCTGCGGCCTGCGCGCCCACGCTGCGCTGCGCTCCCAGCCCGGTGTGATACACCTTTCTGATCAATCATCCAGGTTGTCTTGGGCTGGAAATTTGTTTCATCCTGTCTTTTTGT